TTTTTTATTCTCGCTTCCCCGCATAAAATTCATCTAGCAGATCCATTGTTTGTGCTGGCTGCCAAATTCAAAGAGTATTGACCTTCAGCTGCTTCATTTGCCATTTCTGGATAAGTCCTTATGAAAGAGAAACAAGAAAGAAAAAGGTTTAAACGAACGTAAGCATAATAAATATGTGTAGATGTAATGCTTTAGAGTCCTTTTGGGATCAACAGTTACAAACCATAAAAGAAAAGTAATGGGTTATAGAAAAAGAGGTTAATATTCAGACAGAGAACAATTATCTTTAGAACCAGAAACGTTTAGATATGGCTTAATTTTTAAAACTGAACCTTACATTTTAAGGGAAGACGCTGTGCAGACATTGACTTATTGTAAATCAGACGCGTATCTTTGAGACATTGTTATGTAAATCATAATGAGAGACTTTAATAATGATGTGCATACCCTCTCCCTCTTTCTGTCAAACAGTGATAACCTTGTACTCTCTTCACAAGCATAATATTGTAAAACGGAGATTATCTGAACTTGAAATAATCCAACCATCTCTCGCCTTGTTGTAAATAAAAATGCACGCAGAAAAAAAAGCCAAAGATAACTATTAAAAGGGTTTCTAAGACATAACAGCGATATCATGGATACATTTCATATAAGAAATATGAAAAACGTCAGTATAGTAATAGCAACTGTTATGTTTTTTTCAAACAGCAATTTGGAATATGTAATGAAACGTGATAAACAAGTCACAAAGGACGATAGGCATATAAAATGCTTGCATTAAGTAAATAGGAATACTTATCTCTTTTTTCTCTTTACTTTCAGACTGTTCCTTAATATGTCACATATCATTAGAGCTAGAAGAAATCAAAGCAAAGTTGAACACCTTGGAGAAGATGATGACTCTAACGCCTCACAGACGATGAGCATGACTGATCATGTGTGCACTGATTCTTCCGATCGTTATGATTCTGATTATTCCAATCAGTACGATACTGAGTACACCTATAGCTCAGACGATCAGTCTGACAATGGCCCACAAACAGAAGTACAAGAACCAGCACATTCCTACGTTGTGCCAATATTCCCTGATATGGATATGGAAGAAGTTCCTTGTTCAGGATTTGAGATCAATTTCGACGATCTTGATCGCTTAAATGACCTATTTCAAATGTGGCGTGATGAGAATGAGGGTATCTCTATACGTGAAGAGGATTATGAAGACTACTTTGAAGATTGTATGCAGCATACTATTGATGAAAATGGTGATATCTGTTTTCCAGTTATGGTTATTGATCCTGAGACAGACACGCTCATGGCAGAGAAAGAATATGCTGAGAAGCAGAAGGCTGCTAAAGAAACACCTACTCAGTGGCGAAGAGGTAAAAAAAAATTCTGATATGAGTTGCAGCCATAAGCTGAGCAATACACTCTTTACAGGTTCATTCTCTCAAAAGAAATACTCTTCTGCTCCTGTTAATCAAAAGTGGGGTCATAGTGGCTATGAGGAGCTTCTTTCTGAGAAAGATGACAGTAGATGGCCTAAGGGTAACCAAATGCACAAATTTCATTCCAGTGCCAAGTCTTCGTATGGTAGCAACTGGAGTCGCAGCCGCGATCATGGTCGACCTTATGACAGCAATGACAGTCGTAGTAAGACCTTTTCAAGATCACCTAGATCTTCCCTTTCAACTTCTTCTGGCGGTTACCAATCCGCTTGGGCTACTGTTACACCTGATAAGCTGTTAGACTATAGCCACAGTAACTTTATTTCCCCCACTGCTCCAAAAGACACTGTTCCTGCTGAGTCTGCCGTCCAGCCTTCTTGTTTTTCTGCCAGTGTTTCTGTTCCTGCCAATGCTAATGCTGGTCCTACCTATGTTGCTCCTACCAATGCTGCTCCTGCCATCATTGTTCCTAAACAGCCTGCCCCAGTCACCGCTCTCACGTCCCCCAAGGATGACTCTCTTGAATGGGACATTGATGCCACTGTTGACTGGGCAACAGACTTATTTGAACAAGAGGCGGCCCCAAAGGCAATCAAGATCAGGGACAGTGATGATGTCTTTGTCATAAAAGACTTGCAAGACGGAACTCATCCCCTGGAAACACTGGACGAAGGCGAGCAGAATACCAAGTACGCCATCTCGGCGGGCATTGTTGACGAAGACGAAGCTGCCGTAAAACAAGACTACGAAGAGCTGTCCCAAGAAGCCAAGGGATCAAGTGCTTGGCGAGGCTTTGCCTCCAGCTGCCAATCTACCGCCCAGCCAAACTTGGACACTCAGCTTCCGGAGACGAGGCGCAGCTCACAGTCCTCGTTCAAGTGGTCAAGCGATAATGCCTCTCGCCGTGGCTCAGAAAAGTCTATCCTGGCCAGGCAGAGCAACCAGGGCTCAAAACCCCCAAGGCCTAGCACCACTCAGCCTGAAAACGCAAGACGTGACTCCCAGTCTTCGTTCAAGTGGTCCAGTGGCAATGTCTCTCGTCGGGATTCTTCTGGTTCCGTCCAGACAAGACAAAGCCACACGCCATCAAGATCACCGCCAAGACCGGCCCCCTCCAGCAGTGCATGGAACGCGTTTGCTTTGCAAGAATCAATGGCAAGCGGCATTTTAGCGCACGTAAGCCCAAAGCGCCCACCATCCAGCCAAGGAAAGCAAGGCTATAACAGGACCACATCAAGGTGTAAGTGTTAGCTTTAAAAATTATAAAATTTATTCACCCGTTTTCTGATTTAGCTTCAAACCAAAGCTGGGGAAGCCGAACGCCTGTGACTGATCGAAGAAGGGCTACAGATACCGTCTCCCCTCATATCACCAACACCACTACCAATGACAAGCAAGAGCAGCCAAGCTGGAATAATCATGGCAATACCTGGGAGTCTAAAAAGGATCAAACTTCTATTGCAAGCAATCCTACGTGGAACAACTGTTCAGAACTAAAGCAAGGCACTCCATCTGACGAAAAGCAATATGAATGTGCATCAAATGGCTCTTCAGATTCATGGCCCATGACTAAAGAACGAAGACACGATCATGGTGCTTGGGAAGAAGATTATGGCGCAAGCGACACTTGGAAGCAAGAATCAGTCAATACTAGCGCTTGGCAACTAGGAGAACCAAGTCATGTTCATGATAGACAACAACAAGAAGTAAACAATGACACTAGGCAACAAACACAACACATAAACAATAAAAACATATGGCAGCAAGCACAAGAAACAAGCAATTATACCCTGCGACAAGAGACTAACAATAATGATACAAATAACGCTTGGTCCAATTCCTATACGGATGATCATTGGAGCAAACCCCAACAAGCCTCAAGGAACGAAAGCAGCAAAAATTATGTCCGCGAAACGCAAGCTACTATCGAAGAAGCATGGTCTGAAGATAAAACGGAAGCAAGTCATGAAAACGTTGGCTCTTCATGGACACGAGATAGCGAAGGTGGTTGGAAAGGAAGCCAAAGCCCGATACATCAGGATTCTTGGAGACGCCGCTCAGGTTCACGACGCAACTCTCATTGGAGGTCAAGAAGTTCAAGGGAACAAATATCAAACTATAATGATATTTATAATAACGATCCTACACAAGACACATGGGTCAAACAATCAAACGAAAGCTTCCATAAACCAAGGCATGACACCAGCTGGACTGACTATGCTAAACCAAGCCTGCCCACAGTCGAGCCAGCAACAAGGGAAGAAAGCAATTGGATAGAACAACAAGCAACGATTAGCCAAGAAAAGAAACCATTGACACTTACGCGTGGATATCTGAACAGAAAGATAGCAGAAGAGAAGAGCACAGAAAGAATCGAAGAAAGATCGCCCTCTGTTCACCACGATGATTCGGACGTTGAAGTGATATTAGACGATGAGAACCATTCAGATTGGATTGAAAACAACACCATCCTTGGTATTCAGCCACCTGAAACAGCAAGACCCCAAACATCAACCAGAAAAGAAAACACGAATCCTTATGGATATGGCCAATATATGCCAATGTTATACCCATCTCCCGGGCCAAATGGTATCGATATGATGTACATGCCAGTGATGCACTATGGACCCAATGGTCAACCGATGTATGCCATGCCATACCCTTATTACCCACCGACCAATATACCAGAGGATAACAGAGAAGGCGGTTCAAGTAATGCCTATCAAGCTAATGGCATGATGTACTATGGTATGTATCCGCCCATGTACTGTTATCCCCAAGCTAGAGAAGAAGGATGGGGACCTTCTAAATAAAAAAAAAAAAAAAAAAAAAAGTGTTTGAATGCAGACTAAAGATAAGAGAGAGAAAAAAAGGGGGAGATGGACGAGTAAGATCATGTGGCCATAACAGTAGAGAGCACATGATACTGTCATGTGATCCTTTTTCTTTATATTTTTAAATAGAGCAAAAAAAAATACTTCTTCTTTTTAAGCAATTGATCTATACATCCTCTACCAGAGATCTACTGTTGCTGTTTCTGTTGTGTGTGTGTGTATGTGTGTGTGTATAGTGTGTATATAAAATAGAAAGAAAGCGTATATAGATTAGACAACAGATAAATATGTCAGATACAAGTTCAGTTGATCTTAAACCCAACAGTCGTTCGTCGTCAGTCATGAGTGTAGAAGATGACATTTATACAGAAACAAAGAAACGAAGAGTGAATAATTCCTACTCGAGTTACTCTGCAGACTCCAGTCCATGTGTCTCTTCTGTAAGACAATGTGTTGTTTATATATAATACAATTAATTTGTTTGAATAGACGTCCAGTGTTGTCGACTTACCTTCTTTTGCCCGATCGCAACCTATGGTGATCGATCTCACTCAACCAGAAACACCCACTCAGTCAATGCAAGAGTTGACCATTACGGATAAGAAGCCGTCTCGACAAGCATTGTTTATGGAACAAATGCGTCGACGTCAAGAAATGAAAGATAGGCAAAAGCTAGAATTGTCACAAAAAAAGCTCGAGGAACACAAGGCCAAGGAAGAGCTGAGTCGACAACTTAAACAGCAACATGAACAGTTTATGTTTTCACAAAAAAAAGTCCTGCAGGAGTCACTTGTGCTACTGAAACAATCAAATGAAGTGCAAAGAAAAAAGGAGCAGAAAAAAATAAAGGCTATGCAAGATATGCTCAAGCAGACTAGCCCAGAAAAAGTACAAGTCAAAAAGAAGGCATCAGAAGAGAAAACAATGAAAAGTCAAGAGAAAGAACTGCAAGAAGAAGAAGAACTAGCAAAGGAATATTTGGAAAAAAGACGTCAAGAAGAGGAAGAAAAGAAAAGGTTGTTTACACAGCAGTATGAAGAACGACTGGAGCTAGAGAAAAATAAACAGCAAGAAGAAATCCAAAGGTTGGAAGAAATACGAAAACAAGAAGCACAGTATAGACTGGAAGAAGCACAAAAACGAGAAAGATTGAGGCTGGAAGAAGAAGCGCGAAGACAAGAGGAACTAAAGAAAGAACAAGAACGATTGAGATTAGAAGAAGAGAGAATGATGAGAGAAAAGGCAAGACAAGAGGAAGAAGAGCTAAAGCAAAGTAAGATAGAGTCGAAATATTTTGCACTTCAGCAAAAGTTGAATGAACAGAAAAGTCTTGAACAAGAGAAGCTCAGAAGAGAAGGAGAAGAGCGACTAAGAAAAGAGCAAGAAGAACGATTGAAGAGAGAAGAAGAAGAGCGACTGAGAAAAGAACAAGAAGACGAAGTGATTGTTGATGAAGAGATGACGAATCGTAATGTCTGTATTGGCATGATCAAGACAGAAATTGTAACACTGCGACCACTCAACTTGACCAAAGATGATTTCTTTGAACTAGTTCAAGTGATACCTGAAGGTAGAAGGCATAATGATAATTATTCATTTGCTGTCACATCCCGCACGGCGCCTATTCAATCACTGGGGTGGATACCATTTAGCGATACCAAGGTATTAGGACCATTGGTTGATTATCAAATGGTCTGGTGGGATGCGATCATTCCAAGAAACAAAGTGACCTCGATGAGGACGCCTCTGTATATCATCATCTACTGTCGACCACATCATGTCAAGGTAATAGCACAATACTTCCAAGAACGACGAATGTATCTATCGGAGCCACCGTTTTATAATCCACAGTGCAGATACTCTAATCCTCATGTGAGATTAAATCAACCTGAGCAACAAACGATACGCAGTACAGAATACTACTATGGTGGCAGGCCAACTATGGGAATAAACGACCAACAGACACAAAGAGATATACAGCAATTACTAGAGAGTATACCTAGTGTTGTGCCTATGAAAACCAAAAGGCGAAAAAAGAAGCCAGTGATTATTCTTGATTCTGATGAGGACGATTATAAGCAAGGCTCAATAGAAGAAGGGCAAGATCAAGAAGAAGAAGAAGGAGACGGTGAAGATGACGGATATATAGAAGGATTGACTATTCAGTTAATGGAGCATCAAGTCCAAGGAGTAAACTGGATGATCGACAGAGAAAGTAATGAAAAGAGCCAAGGAGGCATACTAGCAGATGACATGGGATTAGGCAAAACGATTCAAACGATTGGGTTGATTGCCTCAACAAGAGTTCCAGATGAAAAGAGGATTACGTTGATCATCACTCCCCTTGCACTTATTCAACAATGGGCGGATGAGATCAGATCAAAGACAGAGAAGGGAGCGTTTAAGGTCTTGGTTCATCATGGGCCTAGCCGAACAAGGGATGTGAATACCTTTTATGACTATGACATTGTGATTACAACATATCAGGTTGTATCTGGAGACATGCCGACGAATCCTAAAGATGAAGAAGTCAAAATTACGAGCGAGTATGGGCCATTGTTCCAAATGAAATGGTATCGTGTTGTATTGGATGAAGCACAGCAAATAAAGAATAAGAGTACAAGGTCAAGTGTGTCATGCTCAACATTGATATCCAAAAAGAGATGGTGTCTGACTGGTACACCCATTCAGAATAATGTAGACGAACTATATAGTTTATTTAGATTTTTAAAGATTCAGCCTTTAAACAACTATTCAATGTTCAGAAAGACGATATCGATACCTATACAAAATGGGCAATCTAGTCTGGCGATGAATCGATTAAAGGCAGTATTGATGGCCACTATGCTACGAAGAACCAAAGATATCCTCAAGGAAAAGCCTCGGTTGGAATTACCTAAAAGAGAAAAGAAGGACATTTTACTTGAATTTTCAGATAGTGAACGAAGACTGTATAACCTGTTGAAGCAAAAGACTCAGAATAGTGTAAGAGAGTTGTTGAGTCATGGACAATCAGCCTACTTGAATATGCTTTGTTTACTGTTGAGACTAAGACAGGCATGTGATCATCCAAATTTGATACTTAAATCAATGAATGACAAGGACATGATGGATATTCTAAACGAACAAGACATAGCTAATAGTAGCAGCTGTGAGTTGTGTGGAAAGTAATGAATGTGATACATTTTTTGCTTGTATAGAATACTAAGAATTTACAAGTAGTTCCATGGAACCTTCCTGTTCTTATTACTGCTTACCTTGTCAATCACAGATAAATGATATCGGAATATTTAAGACGAGTACCAAGATTGATAAAATGCTTGATATTTTAAACAAAACAAGAGAGACGAATCCAAATGAAAAGACAATTATCTTTTCACAATTCACTTCTATGCTTGATTTGTTAGACGAACCGCTGACGAGACATGGGTTTAAATACTGCAGATGTAAGTTTATAAAGTAAAGAAAAGGATGTTTATGATTTTTCCATAGATGATGGTTCCATGTCTTCTCAGGAACGTGAGAGAAGTTTATTAGCATTAAAGTATGATCCAAAATGTACTGTCATGCTGATATCATTAAAGTGTGGGTCACTAGGGTAAATATATAATGAAGTGACGATAGCAATAGCTGACCATTTGTTTAGGTTGAATTTAACAGCAGCAAATCGTGTCATCTTGATGGATATTTGGTGGAATCCAGCATTAGAAGAACAAGCGATCGATAGGGTCCACAGAATTGGACAAAGATTACCCGTTTATGTAACAAGATTGATGATTGACAACACTGTAGAAGAAAAGATTATTCAACTACAAGAAAAGAAGGTAAGATGATGACGTGGCATACAATATATTTACACTATCTGTAGGCTCTCTTATCCAAGGGTGCTCTGGGTGATGGTATTGTCAAGAATAACAAACTGTCTGTGAGTGAAATGCGCTCGTTATTTGAAATGTAAACGTCGATCCCATTAGGAAAGATGTCATTTACCTTATATGGTATGGATCGCAGTAACCCTAAACAAAAAAAGGATTTCCTTCCTATTTTGTTAATTCTTCCCTCTCAGTAAATAAACTTTAGAACTTTCAGTGTAGAATTGAAAGAAATTGTATGATCGGTCATTTAATTTTTACTTTCCTAGAATTCCTTAATTTATAATATAAATACATTAAATTCACTCATTTTCATTTTTCTTCAAAATAAATGCTATCAATATGTCATCTAAACAAGAAGAAGAAGCATCAGCATTAAATAAAGAGACTATTTCAGTAGATATGAGGGATAATCTGACAACACCTCACTCTAATCCATCAAACCCATTTGCGTTTACACCAGATCAATTATCTGCACTACAGGATCCAAAGAATATATCACTACTTCACGCTTATGGTGGCTTAAATGGTGTATCTAAAGGATTACATGCTAATACTCAAAGAGGTCTATCTACTCAATCTAATATTGACTCAAATATCACTCTGAATGAAATCATTTCGGATCAATCACTTGTAAAACAACCCAACTTTAACAATGAAACAAATGAACCACTAAGAGACGATGGAAAACCCTTTTATCAACGAAGAGCCATCTTTGGTGAAAATGTATTACCTGCTGTCAAAGGAAAATCATTACTTCAACTCATGTGGATGGCATTTAATGACAAAACACTTGTAATATATATATACAAATATTATCAAGATTCTATATTCATATCATATTAGATTCTATTAGCTGTGGCTGCTATTGTCTCTTTGGCTGTAGGGCTATATGAAGATATTGGTCAACCAGAGTATGATGCTCAAGGAAATAAGATACCAGGTGTTAAATGGGTTGAAGGTGTGGCTATCATTGTAGCTATTGTGATTGTTGTCACGGTAGGAAGTGTCAATGACTTTCAAAAAGAAAAACAATTTCGAAAATTGAATGCTAAAAAGGAAGATCGAACAGTCAAGGTAATCTATAATGCATATATTCCTTTTTGTATATTTAAACTCTATAATAGGCAACACGTGATGGTAAAACTGTCTTTATTTCCATTTATGATATACAAGTCGGGGACGTCCTTCATCTAGAACCAGGTGATATTGTTGCAGCTGACGGCATATTTATTGAAGGACATAACGTTCGATGTGATGAATCGGCTGCAACCGGCGAATCAGATGCTGTTCGTAAACAAACTTTTGAATCCTGCTATCGTCTTTATGCTGAAGAGAATGTGCCCCCATCCAATCTGTTGACAGTACCACAGCAAAACACAAGATCTTCTGTGAGCAGCTCAAGCTCTGTTGTCGAAAAGATTCAGATTGATCACCACAAGAACTTACCAGATCCTTTCATCATCTCAGGTTCAAAGGTATTAGAAGGTGTCTGCACTTATCTCGTCACTGGTGTTGGTGTTCATTCTTACTTTGGTCGTACTATGATGGCCCTTCGTTCAGATAATGAAAGTACTCCTCTTCAAGAAAAGCTTAACGGACTAGCAGCCATGATTGCTAAACTTGGTTCAGCCGCAGGTATTCTCATGCTCATCGTCTTGCTCATTCGTTATTTTGCTGGTTGGAGATACGGTATTCCTCACTCAGCTACTACCATTGTCTCAAACATTATGGATATTTTTATTGTCGTTGTCACTATTGTTGTTGTCGCTGTTCCAGAAGGCCTGCCTCTCGCTGTTACTTTAGGTAAGAACAAACAATGTATATATTGCTCTAGGCTCACTTTTATTGTGACTGCTGTTAGCTCTTGCTTATGCTACACAACGTATGCTCAAGGATAACAACCTTGTTCGTGTCCTGGCTGCATGTGAAACCATGGGTAATGCAACTACAGTATGCTCTGATAAGACAGGAACACTGACTCAAAACAAAATGACCGTCGTCGCTGGTACTCTGGGATCCTCATTTAGATTCTTGCAAAGCCCACCTGCTGACCGTGTTGACCTGTATGATATCAACACGCTTGCACAAAAATTGCCTACCCCTGTCATCCAACTAGTGAATGAAGCAATCTCTATCAACTCCACAGCATTTGAAAGCACAGATGAGCAAGGAAATCCTTCCTTTGTCGGTAATAAGACAGAAACTGCTCTGCTTCAATTTGCCAAGAACCTTGGATCGGACAACTTTCAAGACGTTCGTCAACGATGGCCTGTCATTCAACTGTTTCCTTTTAGCTCAGAACGTAAGTCCATGGCTACTGTTGTTCGCATGACACTTCCTTCAGGCAAGGCCATCTATCGTGCTTACGTTAAGGGTGCATCCGAAATCCTGGCTGAACATTGCTCACATATCCTGACCTTGAACGCCGCCAAGTATACTGATGCTGATGACATCAAGACACGTGTCTTATCATCCGAAGATAGAAAACGTATAGACAGAATCATCCAAAGTTACGCCACACGTAGTCTTCGTACTATTGGTATTGCTTTCCGTGATTTCGAGCACTGGCCTCCTTACAAGGGTCATGAAAAGGTCGTAGGTGAAGAGACTGAAGTACCTTATGAGGACTTGATTGACAACAAGGGACTAACTCTGGTTGGTGTCGTTGGTATTGAAGATCCTCTTCGCCCCGGTGTCAAAGAAGCTGTCAAAGCTTGTCAAAAGGCTGGTGTCTTTATTCGTATGGTCACGGGTGATAATGTCGTAACGGCCAAGAGTATTGCCAAGCAATGTGGTATCTATACCCCAGGTGGTATCGTAATGGAAGGTCCTGTCTTCCGTAACCTGCCTACACATCAAATGGACGCTATTCTTCCTCGTCTACAAGTTTTGGCTCGCTCCAGTCCTGAAGATAAGCAAATACTCGTGAGAAGACTTCGTGAGCTTGGTGACATTGTTGCTGTCACAGGTGATGGTACCAATGATGGTCCTGCCCTTAAACTTGCTGACGTTGGCTTTTCTATGGGTATCACTGGTACAGAAGTGGCCAAGGAAGCATCCAGTATCATTCTGATGGATGATAATTTTGCCAGTATTGTCAAAGCTATCATGTGGGGTCGCTGTGTTAATGATTCCGTCAAGAAATTCTTGGAGTTCCAAATCACTGTCAACATTACTGCCGTCATACTTACTTTTATCTCTGCTGTTGCCAGTTCAAAGCAAAAGTCTGTATTGACTGCTGTTCAACTGTTATGGGTTAATTTGATTATGGATACCTTTGCTGCCCTTGCCTTGGCTACTGACCCACCTACCGAAGAGCTCTTAGACCGTCCTCCTGAAGCTCGTACATCGCCTTTGATCACATTCAAGATGTGGAAGATGATCATCGGCCAAAGTATATTTCAGATCATTGTGACTGTCGTCTTATTGTACAGTGACATTCTACACTACGAGGCAGATGACCCTATTTTGCAGACAATCGTCTTCAACACCTTTGTCTTTTGCCAAATCTTTAACGAAATCAACTGTCGTCGTATTGACTCTCACCTCAATATTTTCCACAACATTCTTTCTAACAAGTTTTTCCTCTTTATCTTCTTCCTTTGTGTCGGCTTACAGAGTATCATTGTTAACTTTGGTGGAGCTGCCTTCCAAGTAGTTCGCATCGATGGTGTCTCTTGGGCAATCTCTGTCTGCGTTGGGCTTATTTCAATTCCCATTGGTGTTGTCATTCGCCTGATACCTGATGAACTCTTTAGTTTTGTCTTCTTCTTTAACCCTAAAGCTCGTCAACGATACCTTGGAAAGAACGAACATTTGGCGTCACCCACAGTTTATGTAGCTGGAAATGAGCGCATTACATGGAGCAATGCATTCAGTAACGTCCAGTCAGGTTTAGAAAGCTTCAAGCATGATGCTGCGCCCAAATACTCTGAAAAACGGGTTAGTGAAGGTATTGCTGCTTCAATCGTACTTCCTAGTATGGTAGCTACTGCTCCCTCCACAGGCTGGGTACCTTCCAATGATCAAGCTAATGTTGAAAGCTTTGAAGAAGATAATCAACATACCGTTCTTTCCTCTATCTCTATTGAACAACGATCTCAATAATTAATGTTTAATATCCTACTGTAGCTATCCTCATATACGATCGTATTCTTATTCTTATTTAAATCATGTATTATTTCTTCTTTTAATAAGCACAATTCTTTGTAAATAAACTTTATTATGTACCCTCTTTGATGCCAGATCTACCCAAATGCACGGAGTGTCATACACTTTCAGGGTACCATAATAACCGAAAAAATAGTGAACTTGTTTTGAGTTTCCAAAAATTATGATGCTACACAAGGTGCATTTTGCCTTCAATCAGCAACCTTCAAGGTACAATCTAAGGAATGAGTGTCGATAAAGAGAATATCGAGGCGATACTTCTGGTATATATGTATAAAAAAAAGACAAAAAAAAAAACAAAAAAAAAAACAGTTTCAGTTAGCAAACAAAGTTTACCAGCGAGGGGCCATCCTCTGCTCATTATTACTGCCTTTATGCATTTTGGCATGATATCTATAAGCTTATTGATTGTATGCCTTGGGAATTTAATCCCACATATTTCTCATAATCTCCTTCAAGCCCTTCATGGCCCTTAGGTCCATTTCATCGAGCTTTATCTTTGTCTTCACTTGGTACCAGAAATTTTCAATAGGATTTAAACCAGGGGACTGTGCGAGCCGTTTCAACTTTTCAAACCCATGCTCTTCCCTCTGCTTTCTTGCATAATTTGCAGTGCGGACAGGCGCATTATCTTCTATAAGGATTGGATTTGGCAGGCTGCTGTAAAAATTCAATAAGGCTGGTCCATACATCTGCTCTATAAAACCCACCGCCGTGCGTTTATCTTTTTTCATAAACACCAGAGGAGTCTTATTGCTGAAGATAATGCCTTCCCAAACTATCAACGAATATCCCCCACTTTTGAATGTGGGGGGCTAGGCAAGCTTCCTCATATCTTTCTCCAGACTTTCTCCATACTCTTGTTTGCCTAGAATATGCTCTTCCTCAAAAGTAGAATCATCAGTCCAAATGACCCTGTCCAATTCTCTGCAGTCCGCTTTCTGTACTTTGCAAAGTCTAGCGATTGTGTTCCAAACCTCATCTTTGTCTTTTCAATCTTGATAGGGAAGAGATTTATAATTTCTTGCAAAACAACGATTGCTACTTCTCAATATGATTCGAAGCCGTCTATGATTCCTTTGTGATTATATTAAGTTTGTGTGAGAGTTTACTTGGGTAGAGAATCTATGACTGCTATTTATACCCATTTCAATTTTTAGCAAAAACGCGTTAAGATATTAGACTGAAGCCGTTAAGAAAACAAAATTTGAAACCAGGTGATTTGTGACCTCATATTTTACAACGGGCTACACCTAAGTTAAAACGGTGCCAAATCCATTTTTATTATTTTACAACGGGACTGTGCTTATGTTACAACGGAGTTTACCAAATATTCAATTAAGAGGGGATTAATGCATAAAGGGTGGTTTAAGGGGAGTGTAAATTCAAGCTTTTCGGTTATGTGGCAGTAAACAGTTAATGGGTCGACCGATAAATTTGGCAAGGAGAAGCTCTGTAACATCTTTTACGATGCAAGTAGGGTGCTCTTGGATGTAGTCTTCAATGAATTGAGAGTGTTCCTCCGTAAGCTTAATATTATTGCTTTTCTTCTTGATTTCAGATGCTAGCTTGTATCCTGGTAATACCGTTCCTTCATTAGGTTTCCATTCTTTGTAGAAGTTACAGGCTGCAATAACAGTCTCTTTAGCAGCTTTAGGAAGCTTCATACTCGTGTTTTGCATCAAAGTAATTGAGTAACTTGGGTTGGTTTGTATTTAGTTGATGTCTACACCATATCTGGAAGTGGTATTCCACCTAAATCAAGCTCTTCCATAGCTTGTGCTAACGTTTCTATTTCTTCTTCTTCAGACGATATAGAAATATCAGAAAGATTATCCAATCGATACAATGGTTTTTGCAAAGTTCCACCCGTAGCATCTTTTGGCTGATATTCAGTATCCTCAAAGTCAACTCTTTATCGCTATCTCCCTTATGGCTAATTTTTTTGCGACAAAGTAGTTTTGTTCATCATACTGATTAAAAAGAAAAATATAATTGCGAGATTATGAAAAAAAAGAACTGAAATGTATGAAATAATTAATATTTTATTAGCCATATATTTTCAAGTAACTATCTATGTCAAAGCACGACTACTCGTCTCTATTATACGTAGTTTCAAAAAAAAAATTGCTGTATTTAAAATCGAATTGACCAATAAAACTCTTTTATTTATTCGTTATAAAAAGAGTATCGTAGCGTAGGGAGACTGTTCATTAGTATTTTATTTACTTTTGGAATAGCTGATTATGTCATAATCATATATTGCTAAAATATAAATACTTAACTATAACTGTTATAAACATAAAAAAGCTGATGTTGTTTAAAAAATTGAATATCAATATATAATAAAAATAATGACAGAAAGTGAAGAGGAAAGTTTACACAAAGATATTTTAAATAAAGAAGTAAATAAATTGATAGCAAATGAATGTCTATTTCTAAATATGAACTGGATCATAGATCAGAATTAAAAGATGTAAAATTTATAAGATTTATTAAAGATGTATTGTTGGAACAATTAGGTTATATACCAGAATTTTATTTTTTAAATGTTATATACGGATCAATTGAATATCCAGGTCCATATAGAGAAATTGAAAAAGGTTTATTAATTTTATATCATATTGTTAGTGGGTTGTCAGGAAGAAAAATGCATCAGTTTATTTCATATGCTACATATTATGAATTATATAAAAGATTTATCTTTTAAATCGGTATATCATTTAAGTATTTCTCAAACACGTTAACAGAGTGTTGAATAAAGTTTTTCATATGCTGTGCAGGAACAGCATCGCAAGCCTCGCTTATTCTTGCCTTGAGGTCCTCTGTATTACCAAATTGGCTTCTTCTTACTTTGCGTTTGACGCTTACCCAAAACTGTTCAATAGGATTAAGTTCTGGTGAGTACTTCGGGAGATAAACACACTTATAGCCTCTATCTTCAATCATCTTGTCAATCTCTCCACTCTTTTTGTCATGAATAGGCGAGTTGTCCATAACCAAATAAAATCCTTTCATTTCCGGATACTTGTCCATCTCATCCAACGTTGAGTTTATAAATCTAACGTAATGACCTGAATTGGTGCCACCTGTTGCTGGTTTTTTCGCTGCTGGACTTTTTCTTTTGCGGCTTCCTGCAGCTTTCATTCTTTTTGATTTTAAAGGAACTCTGATCTCCATGTTGACGACTCCCATAGGACATATTGCACCAAGAATCGTATGGCTTATAGCCCTTGTTGTTGGCGTAGTAATTATGGCTGGCGTACCTCGAGCAGATCTAGCTGTTGGTGGCCTCATATTAATGTCGAAAGCGCTTTCGTCAATAAAGACACAATTACTATTGAAATCCATATCTGTTTTCGACCAAGTTTTCACCCAGTCGTGTCTTTCTTTACGAGTATTGTCAGTGTTTCTTGCATGTGGATGGCGGGTAACTTTTTTTATTGTTAAATTGCAATCCTCTCTAATGTACTTTCCCACAACAGTCTCTTTCAAGGAGAAGTTTTCGAAGTTTTCTGTAAGGCCATCAATTGCATCTTTAACTCGAGCTGAAGGATACTCATCAAAATAATCAAGAAGAAAAGCTTTATGCTTCTCCTGTAGCTGACCTGTACCAATTTTGTTCTGATTTGTTTGCTTTTCGTATATATTCCAGTTAGGATCTTCCTTCGTTCTTGCTGACCACGCTTGCCCTGTACGTACTTTCACTCCCACTCTCCGAGCCGATTCAGCTGCGTTTAACAATTTTATCTTGTGAAGATATATAAATAACGTTTTTTGGTCATCAGAATATAGATTTTTTTTTTTATTATTGCTTTTCGTTTTTTTCTCTTCAAGGTTCTTCTATTGTTTCCATTTTTTCAACACAATCCGGACTGTCTAAGTCCATTTCCGGCTGTACTTGCTTATTCAAATAGCGTGTTAGGTTGGTTAGGTTCTCCAAATTATGAGGATCAACTTCCTAATCCCAGTCCATTGCTTCATTCCCGCTCTCATCAAAAACATTTCCTTGACTATCTTCAAAAATAATTTTTCCTTTTATTGAGTACATGTTATCGATCTGATATTTGCTTTTAAAGAGATAGCTTATGAAAAAGGTACGAATAAAAATAATGCAATTTGAGTTGTAAAATATGCAGTTTGACTTTTTTATTAGCGCAGTTTGAGAAATCACAAGTGCGCAATTTGACCAAATAATTATGCGCTG